GATTGATTCAAAGTTCATACTTGCAACGTTGAAAAGGTGGAGACCCGAGACACACACATTTCATCTACTAATAAGTGAGTGTGCCGTCACACTATAGGACATGTACATGTTATTGGGTCTCCCTGTCGATGATAAGGCGGTTAACGGGTCAATTTAACAGCCCAACTCTCTGTGCAAGGAATTGTTGGGCAAAGATATGGTTGAAGGTGGTGGTGCTAGAGGCTAAGGTATATTACTTATTGAACTCAAAAAACATTATGCGACTCTAGAGTTGAACGAAAATTCCTCCGAGCTAGCTAGAGTAATAAAAACTAGAAATTACATAATGATACTTTTTGGAACCTTTTTATTTCCCGAAAGTACGGGGAATAGTGTAAATTTCATGTATTTAAATTTACTTAGAAACTTTGAAAAAACTAGAAAGTATAGTTGGGGTTCTGCTGTTTTAGCCCATCTATATAGTTCCTTGTGTAAAAATGCAACCAAGGAAAAATATACTTTTTATGGATGCGCTTTCTTACTCCAAGTCCGGGGTTGATGGAGAATATAATCCCTAAACCCCGTCAACAACAACGCATTTATTTTCCCATACGCAACAAAGTAAGTCAAGAACTTATATTATTTATTATTCATATGTTCATCAAATATATGATAAAATTAAACTATTTTACAATTCCTTTAGGTACTGCATGACGGGTATGGATTACGGCAAGAATTCTAGATTCGATGTCGCTTTATATTGCAATCTATTGGATCACCTTGGCCCAGATGATGTACGTCATACCTTTGAACTTTTCTACTTTTAAATTATTTATTTATTACGTTTTTATTAAGCTGATTTAATTTTATCCAAAGTTTATCTGGAGACCATATTTGGGTTTGGACCATGAACCAAACTCCGAGGATGCAGCAATTTAGACCACAAAGACTGCAATCATACGATTCAACATTGTGGAGATGCACCACAAAGACCGTGTCAAGATGCAGTTTGGAATGCATCAAGAGATACCCTGTGATCCAACTTGTTTGTTCCCGTGGCATCTCGAAAGGCGACACCCAATGTGGTCTTACCAATTGGAAAGATTTTGCTCTAGAGTAGTGTAAGATGTGGCATAGGCGTCACCAACATGTCTTGCCATTTCCTGTTTTCTTCAACCAGAGTAATATGCGACACACATATCAATATTTAGCTTGGTACAGATCGGTTAGTAACCCAGAAATGCACGTGTCTCATTCAAGGTATTTGGTTGACCCACAAACACAATGGGCACAACCCTCATTTCCCCAACAACAAACCAAACACACATCAACCTCCTACCAACCTCCCCGATGACACAGATCCACAATCACCACCACAATACGAATACACCCACATACCCCACACCCAACCATAATCACCACCTCAATACCGATACCCCATATGCCATACACGCAACCACAATCTCAATCACAATACCAATACACCTGCATGGCCCACACATAATTCCAGTCTTCTCATATTTCAATATGGGCCCCTCAACATCTAATCTTAACCCTGATTTAGGATTTTTCGTAGAATATAACCCAACCGACCCAACTTACCATCAACCACCACATCACCAAAGCACCAAACATTCGCAATACCAAACACCCAAAGATTCATTTTCTTTCTACCCCTTACTCAGACGACCAGTGCTATAGACCAACCATTAAACCCCACCCACCACCAAGACAACCAAACTTTGAGGGTGTGGGTAACCGACTGTACCAAAGTGGATCTTCCAGATATGGAGATCTGACCGATTTCATGAATCTGGAACACATTGATTTCGCTGGGCCATCGACCCTGCCACAACAGGAAACGCGACGAAACTCACCACGAGACAGGCGAGGACGCGGATGTGGACCACTAATTATTTTGTATTTTTTATTATGTAATTGTTTTGTGTAAATAAAAAGTCGAATTTTTGTGAAGCTATATCGTTTACATAATGTCCCGCATTTAAAATAAAAAACAAAAAAAAAATTGGACCTCTTTTGCACTAAGGTGTCATCTCACATGACTTAAGGCACAATTTTAACACCTAGGCGCCAAGTGAGATGACGTCTCCCCTTTAATTTAAAGTGTAAGCGCCAAGTAAGATGACTCTTCTTTTGTGGAGTTTTCTAAAACATGATTATTTATGTAATTTTTTTTAAAACATGATTATTTATAAATTATTTTTTAAAACTTAATTATTAAAAAAAAATTCTATAAGAATGGAGACTTTTCCTTTATAGGGTGTAACGTACCACCCATACTTTTGTCATAATGATAAAACTAAATTATAAAACATATATTTGACTTTTTCATATTACTTGTAAGACTAATGAATTAATGACACGTCGCTTTGCTAATAATAATTAACAAAAAAATCTAATAAATACTATATACCTGAACGTGAGAGAGAGAGCATAATCCTTTTTCCTCCATCTCTATTACAAATAACAAGATTTCCACCCTTTGTTTATTTTTTAAAAAACACCTCTCTCCTTCTCTTCTTCCACTCTTAATTTCTCCAAATCAAATATCATAACAAAAATCAATAATAAACCTACAGAATCAAAAACGAGTTTTACCTGTGACAAGAGCTTGGTGTGCGACGGCCGGTGGTTGCAAAGCTTGGCCGGATCTGGTTCGTGAATGTTGACAGCGGCGGCGGGCAGTGGATACGGACGGAGATGATAGGTTGGAGGCACGACACGATCTTGATCGGGGAACTCGCGCGGAGGAGCTGCAGGTGGCCGCGATTTGCCGGCATCAGAAGCAGTTGCGAGTAGATTGGAGGGGCTTCTCACGGAGGCAAGAGCTATGCACGGTTATCCCAGCGGTTGGGTTCGCGTCGGAGATGCAATTCCGTTTCTTCTTCTTACTTTCCCCTGTTTTTATACTGTGTTGCCACTTTGGTATCGTTGTTGTGTCTTTCGGTTGTTTCCCTTGTCGGCGTTGTATCCTGCTCACCACCTGTTTGACAAAAATCTCAAACCAAACTTATTCCATCATTTTATTTTTCGCTTCCGATTTGCAGTTGGTATGAAGTGGTGTAGTCTTCTTTGAATGTAGCATGTTTATGTTACTGCAAGAAAAGTTGATGGAATTGTGAAGACAAAATTGTAAGTAAAATTAATGAAATTGTGAGAACAAAGTTGGATTTGAAAAAAAGTGAGTATGTGGTGTGGGAATTTGTAAATGGCTTTTCGGTACAGGTATAATTAGTAGTATCTGAGAAAAAAATGGTTAGAGAATCTCTTTACATATGATAGGGTTAAAATCACTCTTGAAAACTCGAAAATATCTTTCGGAGATGCACTTTCAAACACACCTTTTAGTATGTTTCGGAAGTACTTCTTTGAACACACTTTTTTCCATGTTTTATAACATGAACGTTGAATTTGAACTTTTTTTAGATAGTTTCAGAGATGCACATGCAAAACATGCTAATAGGTGATTTTGGATATGCATCCCCGAAACTATCCTTTTCATATTAGAATAATGCATGGTCACCTATCACAACTATTTCATTCATTTTCTATTCCTCTATAACCAAAACCTTCAATCATTTTCAATGGATTTTTCATCTCTAAATCAAGTTTCAAGTGTTTGGGTATAGCAAGGAGAGCATAGAAAGCTGCAATTTGAGGTATACTTCTCTTTTTTCATTACACATTTACTACACTGAAGTTGTTTTGTTAATGAAAAACAACGCCTCTTCAGATATGCACTTCCGAATTCCACCAACATAAATTCAGATGTGCACTTCCGAAAAAATGTGTTTCAAATTCAGAATTATGTTTTAACAGAATTCGTGTTTTTTTAACATGTTATTATGCACAAAGGATGTTGCTAAGCCGAATGAGGTGAAGGTCGTTGATAAAACGAAGGATGTTGCGATCAATTATGCACAACAATTTCAAACCGATAAAAAATTCACTACTTGTCAAGGTATGATTGAATGGATTCGAATGGAAGCTAGCAAACTTGGATTCAGCATTATGATTGAAAGGTCCGACAATGAGACTAGTAAAAGACAATCATTTGTTGTGATGACACGCGAGAGAAGTGGAAAATATGTTCTAAAAATTTGGAAGATAAAACATGATGACACGAGATCGAGGAAATGTGAGTGTCTGTTTAAATTGTGCGGTTATTGTAGGGTGGATGATTTATGGTGGTATAATGTCATGTCTGGTATGCATAATCATGTGTTGGACAATAAGCTACACAAACATCCAATTGTATGTCGACTTAAGACGGTAGAGAAGGAATTTATTTCCGAATTATCGTTGATCAAAGTTGCACCAAGAAACATACTTGTCGGTTTGAAACGGAATAAACCATAATGTGTCTCAAATATCAAGTCGGTTTACAATCATCGTTACAAACAACACATTGCACAAAGAGGTCCAAGGTCCGAAACGCAACATTTATTGAAATGCTTAGATGATAACCACTATGTTTTCAGGTACAGAGTTTGTAAGGATAATGTTAGTATTCGTGACATTTTTTGGACTCATCCAGAAAGTATCAAGTTATTTAACACATTTTCAACCGTCCTTATGATTGATTCGACGTACAAGACCAACAAGTATAGGCTCCCGCTTCTAGAAATTATCGGTGTTACATCTATGGACAAGACATTTTTTATTGGATTTGGTTTTTTGGAATGTGAGAAAGAAGACAACGTAACGTCACTTGGGCGTTGGGTGTATGCAAGACTTTGTTCAAGGATCCACAAAATATGCCTAAGATCATTGTTACCGACTGAGATAACGCCGTTATGAATGCGGTTGGCACTGCATTTCCTTCATCAACCGCATTACTTTGCCAGTATCATATAACAAAAAATGTGAGAGTACGGCTAAAACCTGCAGCTGGCACCAAAGAAAAAAAGGGTGAAGATGGAAACATGATCAAATCCGGTGTTGTGGTTGAGAAGATAATGGGTGCAGGGACTGATATTCTCAATTCTACTACCGAAGAGTTATATACAGAGAATGTGGTACAATTCTGAAACTTTTGTGTTAGATATCTCAATTTTTTGAAATACGTTGAGTCTATTATACTTGATTAGGTGAAAGAGAAAGTTGTATGTGCTTGGACTGATCGAGTTAGATATTTGGGTAACACAACAACTAATTATGCCGCGTTGAAGAAGTGGTTGGGTGATAGCAAGGGGGACTTTTGTAGACAATGGGACACAGTGAACCAAATGCTCCAAAACCAACATAATGAAATTCAAACAACTTTTGGTAGGAACAAAAATGTATTAGACCACCGTTTTAAAGGCAATCCTGTATACACATCATGTGTATTGGATACCTTAGATCACGCCATTTTGTTCAGGTTTATTTGAAATCGGGTTGTCCTATACCGGCTACCTTTGTGGAATGGACGACACATCATGAAAAAGAGACGGAAACTTGACCGGGTGAGTTTTTGGATAAGATGGTCGAGTTCACCAATTTTATGGATCCTGAGAGAGAATCAAATAGGGAAAAGTCAAAGAAAGAACTATTTTAGATTTAAGTGGTGAAAATTCGTTCGGCGCATTTTAGTATGTAATCAAACTATTTTTTGAATGTTTAACCGAGCCATTTTTTGAATGTATTGTCATACACATTGTAAAATCTATATGTTTCAATACATGTATAATATATTATCTATATTTAGTGTTACAATTGTTTATCTTTTCATGCTCTTTTGTATACAATAAAGAAACCGAGTTATGTTTCCGCATAATTCGGAAGTGCACTTCCGAATTAACCTTCAATTAAAAAAAACAACACATGGTTTATTTCGGATATGAACTTCCGAATTAACCTCTTATTTTTATTAAAACTCATGGTGTCTTCGGATGTGTATCTCTGAAAACCCTTGTTTTTGATAAAAATAAGGGGAATTCGGAGGTGCAGTTTCAAAATATGTCTTGATAAGATTTCTTTGGTCCATGTTGCTCTGAAAATGCTATAAATTGGGTCTTCCATTCTATTTCTTTACCATTCACATACCACAACCAGAAATGACACAAACAAATTCACACCTTGCTTTTGTCTACTTCAGTAGTGCATAGTTACCACTTTAGTTCAGGTTCTCGCAGGACACGCCGTTCGCCGAGCTCATTACCATATTGCATTCTCTCTTGCAATATCCAGAGAATCGAAATATGGTCAAGCTTGAGTATCTTTCACCTTCAATTGACAGTGAAGGAAACATAAAGTTCACCCCATTTGAGCTTAAGAACGACGATAATTTAGAGGTTATGTGGGGTACCTTTCAACAATACTCTTCAAAGGGTCTGATTGAGATGAACATGAAGCTTCAAAGATCGGCAGAAGATGTTATCAAGATGTTACGTCGTCCTCAACTACCCGTTTATAATAATATGTAACTTTAATTTTCTGCATAACTATTTATGTAACTTCTTTGAATTATGTTGAATGAATGTTATGAATTATGTTGAAATTTTGTTCTGTCCAGGAATACTTTCGAATATGCATTTCCGAAAATGTCTAACAGGTGGTTTCGGATATGCATATATGAAGTAAAGTTAATAATTCATGTTGGTGGTTCATCCGGAGATGCACTTCCGAATTCTGGAAATATTTTTGAAATTTTGCCATAGGTGCTGAAGAAGTTCACTAGGTGTAGAAAGAAATTCTCAAATGGTTAAACCAAAAAATAGGGAATGATAAGTGAATGGTTATGTACGAAAGTTGGTATGTGAAAAGTGTAGAAAGAATAGGTTTACGTGAGTTTTATGTAAAAAAAAATTGGTGTTACGCGAGTGATTGAGAGAATTGGTGTTAATTGTTAGTAGTTGAAGATATAAAGAAAGTTACGCTAAAAAAAATTGAATCCCTGTTGTGAAAAATTATTAGTAACAAATTAGTATAGTAGGTTTTTGAAGAAAAAAACCATCAGAAAAATCATCATATGATATAAAATAAGATAAAATAAATAAAAAGTTTTGTGTAAAAAAAATGTTAGCGAAGAGTGTGGATCTATAAAATATAATTTCAAAAGAAAATAACCATTAGGATCATTATCGGGTTATAACAATAAACCAATTTTAAAAAAAAAAAGTTAAATTGAAAAGGAGAGCCTCATATTTAATTATTGGTCAAAAATTGCAAATAATTTTGAAAATGTTTTGTAAAAAGAAATTGCAAAAAGTAGTAATGAGAGAAAGTGTTGGTGGAAAAGTGTGGGAATGGAATTGTAAATTTGTTGATGAATAAAGCTGGGAAAATACATGGTTATTTATAAATGAAGATTAGGTCAAGAGAATGAATGTGATTGATTGATATTGAAATTTGAGGACCAAGTTGATATAAATTAGGGATATTCATTGGATCTGTTTATTGTGATTGATTTAATGATGAAAAAGATTGATTTTGGAGAATATTTGATTTATTTTTGAATTTTAACTAATTAATGCATAAAATCAAATATTTTAAAATTAGAAATTTTAATATTAAATTAATAAAATAGAAAACGGAATTACTTAATAAATAATTAAAAATATATATTTTTTAATAATTTTTTTGGAATAATGAAAAAATGCAAATAGATAAAATACAAAAAACTTGGATGGTGAGATTTGAAAACATGACCTCTCACTTGTAAGTTTTGTCTCCTTGTGTTATATTATTTATTTAAAATAGTTAACCACTTGGAGGCATATGAATGTGTAAAGATATTTGCTATTTTAAAAATACAAATAATTTAAAATAAATTATTATATATTTTTAAATAGATAGAATAAATCGAAAACGAATATTTATAAAACTCAAAATGTTAGTGTAAATACACCAGAGAAATTTATAAATCTCAATTTTGAAAATCATTTGATTATGGAAAATAAAGCGAGCAAATTTGAGGTATGACAACTTGGTTGATTTAATATATAATTGATATGATAAAAAGTATTGTGGTGATAGTGACACGTGAAAATAATGAGTTTCAGTGATAAAATTTATAGGATATGATAAAAGTTATAAATATCACTCTTGTTATTTCTTTGATAATACAATAGTAAATTGATACTTTGAGTGATAAAACATGATATGATGATAAAAGTTACAAATATCACTCTCGTTATTTCCTTGATAATACAATAATAAATTGATAGTTTGAGTGATAAAATTTACACAAGTTTATTTGTAATACATAAGATGGATTTCGAACCCTGCACCCTCTACTTGTAAGTTATGTACTCAATTACTGCATTATGTGTTTCAGTTTGTATATTAGTCGCTTTAAATGCTACTTTAATTGAATAACAATACTTTAAATGAATAATTATACAATATTTTTAATTATCATATCACCTCTTTCTTTCCATTCAGTACCACAAGATCATTACCATTACCAAGGTCGCTGTTGTGCAATTTTTTCTTAGTAAAGGTTTGACAAATAAGAATGCAAGCTTAACTTATCCATTTGTAGTGTCTGAGAAGATGTTTCTGGATATGCTTATAAAACGTTTTAAAAATGAGTCTTCTTATCTATTAAAGTTGTATGAGGAAAAACTCAATCCTGCATACACCAGGGACGATAAGACTTACATGCTGTGATCAGATTTCTAGATCTATAAATACAGCTATAATGGTAGTTATGCACTTGTGAAGATCTGCCATACATCAATCAACATCGATGTTGCACTTGTGGTTTTGGATTTATGGAGCACAATTATATATATACTTGGAATATCATTATGCCACATCCAGGGCAGGTCTTACAATTATACTTGAATAGGTTGCTTGCAAATAGCAAAACTCCAAGTATAGCCATGGCTGCTGTGAAACTGTGGAGACCTCTCAAACTTCAATATTGAAGATACAAACCTACTATTGTGGTTGTGAAGTATAATTATTTAAAACACTTATCAGTCATGTGAGGTCTAACATAGCACTTGACTTTGTCACATTTTGACATCTTGTTATAAACCTTTTGTCCTTGTTCTGTATTTTTGTGATGTCTTATGCTGGCACTGTAGGTTTTTGAGCTATTTATAGGTATTATTTTTGTAATTTAGCATATTTTTCCAACGATGGCACGGTCTAGGGAAGAGTCAGAACCATTGTCGATCAATTATAGAAAGGCTTGTCTTGCACTTGTAAACTATATTTGCAAGAGACCAATTTAAATAATCCAAGTAGAATCTCTTTGAGATTGAAAACCATAACATAATGCAAAACTAATAGCCCAATCTCTGTATAATTACAGCAACTCTTATAGAATTATAGTTTTGAATAACAAATACCAACCTTTCACGACGGTTCTGCCTTTGAGGAAGGTTCAGTTTGCTTGTCCGCCTACACATGATTGGTAAATCGAGCATAATATTATTTCTTGACCAAAGATGATAAACTTTATGTATCGATCAACGTAAGAAATAGATAAGATACCTCTTCAAATTTCTCAAAATTTTGAGTATGTAGTTCATTAACCTCAGGCATAAACATAGCTTCCATTTGGTACAACTTGTCTCATTCAACGCCTTTGAACCATGCGTGAGCCTGGAATTAAAACGAACAATAACTTATTGGTTAAAATGCAACAGAATCCCAAGTACATTACATGATTTAGTAGGGGGAAAAACACAGCACAAAACCTTTATTTCATCAGCTCCTTTGACTCCCAGCCACTGCTCCACATTACATAGGAATCTGTAAATAAGATCCTTTGCATCTGGTGATAGTTTAGTTTCTTCTGGAAAATTTAAAGTTGTTCTCCAATTTACAATCTGCAAATTGAAGGTGAGATGGAATACTATCATTACCGATATAGACCACAAATGAAATTTGCTCAACTCCCTTCGTCCAACTCCCCCCGTCCGGCCAACACCCTCTGTCTGTCCAACTCAGCTTTCCACCATCTTATTTATCATCTTCACGCATCGTCACGGAATAGTAAGAATGGCAATTGACAATGTAACAATGTATTAGGTATTATTTATTAGTTATTACCGTAGTAAATTACCTCTGATTTGGTTAATAAAAAAAATGGAATTTGGCTTGAGGGACTTTAGTGTAATTGTGACTTGGTAATTTTAGTGTATTTGATAGACAAGAATAATTAAAATATGTTATTTGTTGTGAGAGAGTGATTGATTTAGAAGGAGATAGAAACAAAGTAACAAAGTCACCATAAGTTCAAAGTCACTCAAACTCAATCTAAAAAAACCACACGATATAAGTCTAATGTGTCTTTTGTACCTCATGACATGTTGAGTTGAATCAATAAAAAATAAAGTTGAAACAATCATAAAATAAATGGATTGATTGATATAGGAAAAAAAAAGAAAGTAAAACTCTCTTATCTTTTTTGAGATGCATAAGAAGTAAAGAAAATAAGAACTCTCTGTTGTGTCCAACCAAAAAAATAACACATTTTTTCCTGTACTCCTCTCTTCGACCTCTATCTCTCTCTTCTATTCAAACAAAATAAACAGACCAGTAAAATTGAATGGTGAATTTAAAAAGAAAATATATTGTTATTGATGTTGTCTTCTAACAAGTAAAGTAGTGTATTCCATTGAACTCAAATTATTAGAGTTTATAAGTGTGCTATTTATGATATCTTCTAACAAGTAAAGAATGTTAAAAAATATGAATTATTAATAAAAGTATATTAAAAATAAAAATTTCTAATGATTTAACTATGTACGCATTAATTTAAAAACATAGGTATGGATTGTAGTTAGATGAGAGCAAACCGATTAAGTGCTGAGTACGAACATGGAGTGAAGGAATTTCTACAGTTTGCTGAAAGTAATGCTAAAAAAATCTCCTCCTCCTATTAGTAATGCTGAAAAAAGTGATCATGCATTTTTTCTCAGTCCCTGTGTTCGTTGTGCAAATCAAGAACCAAAACTTAGTAAGAAATAAATCACGGATCATCTAATTTGTGTAGGGATTTGTCAAAGTTATACAGAATGGATATGGCACAGTGAATTAGTAGCAAAGTCAAACGTATCCCAAAGAGATAATGTTAGTGTCAATATGGATGATCGTCTGGAAGACATGATGTGTGATATTGGACAAGATTCGTTTAAGAGGACACACGCGTATAATACTTTATGTAGTGACAAAGATAAATCATTGTACCTCGGGTGTAAAAATTGTACATGTTTGTCATCCGTGTTAAAATTGTTTAATCTGAAGGAAAAAATGGGTGGACTGGAAAAAGCTTTGCCGGATTGCTTGAATTGTTTACACAAATGCTTCCAGGAGGTAACGTAATGACAAATTGTTATTACGAGGCGAAGAAAATATTGTGTCCAGTGGGTTTGGACTATGAAAAGATACATGCATTCCCTAATGATTGTATATTATACAGAAAAGTGTATGTAAACTATAATCATTGTCTGAAGTGCAAGGCATAATGCTACAAAAAGAAAGATGGTGATTCTAGTGATGATGAGGTGATTAAAAAGAGTCCTCCCGCGAAAGTGGTATGGTACCTATAAATAATTTCAAGGTTCAAGAGACTACTCGTTAATGCAAACAACGCAAAGAATCTTAGATGACATGCAGAAGAAAGAAAATTTAATGGACAAATTCGCTGTATAGTTGATTCTTTGCAATGGAAGAAAATAGATTCTCTGTTTCCAAATTTTGGCAAAGCGGCGAGAAACCTAAGACTTGGTGTTTTACCCCAAAATTTGCCATCTCATTTATCAAATATTTTCCCACAAGGATCTCTCTTGGTTCAAGATTGCACTAGGATTGATCAGCTCAAGACACCTCCTTAAGCACTGATGACCAAAATTAGGGTTTGAGATTGCACAAGGATGATTGAACTTTCAATGCTTCAAATGACTTTCATGGATCATTATGGACCCCCAAGACTACTCATGTCAAGTTTCAAGCCTTGGACCACACTGTTGCTCAGTCAATTAAGCAGTTGACCTAAAAAACAAATGTATTGGGAAAAAAGTCAACTATGGCCAATTTACAGTCAAAATTCATAATTTTTGATCCACATCAATATTATAAACTCATATGTATCATTTGATCAAGTTTGGACCATAATTCCCCAAGAAATTTGATCAAATCATCAAAAGTGCAAAATGGTCAAAATTAGGGTTTTGACTGAGAAAGGGCAATTTCTGATTTTTAACCTAGCAAATGGTCAATTGTTTTGAAGCATGATTTAAAGATTTAAATTGAATCATTTTGACCTAATGACATGACCTAAAACATTGCTCAAGATTAATTGGACTGATAGTGAATTTTCAGTCAACTGATCAAAAAGTCAACTGTACACTAAAAAGTTAAACTTTGACTTTTTGGTCAAAATTCCATGTCAAAGACCACAATTCATAAAAACATGTCAAAATATGCAACTTATTTATCAAGAAACCAAAAAGTCAAGATTTCATTTTTGAAAAGTCAAAGTTTTCTATCTTAGAAATTTTTCTAAGTGTTTAAACTTCATGTTTTTTCTTAACTTTGGGCCAATTTTTTACCATGATGCAAGAGGATTCAGAAGAAACTTTCAACATTAAAGTTGTATATCTCCATGATATCTACAACATTTCTTTATACAACTTCTCCTAAAAATTCTTGGATCTTAAGTTATTAATTCATAAAGTCATGGTCTTGAAATTAGACACTTAGTGAAATTTTGCCCTAGTTTTGGTCAGGATTTTGACCTATCTTCATGACACTTTTTCATATAGTTCCAAGGGGAATTTTCAAAAGTGATTCAAAAAGGTGTTGTATATTACACTACAAGCTTTCCAAAATGTCAAATAACTCCTTGATATCATTCTTGAGTAGGGAGAATCGAAGAGATGAAGTTAGGGTTTTCACACTTGAATTACAAGTCATTTTATGATGAAAAAAAATTCAATTTCAAACATATGCTGCACAATATTGTTTTGCAGGCCTATAAACCTCAATATCTATCTATAATCAGAAGATTACAATTGCTTTTGAGCTATTATCCACTTGGTTCAAGCTTTGTCCAAGTAAATTTTCCATTAATGGAACAAAGTTCACACTTCCATTTTGGAAAAGTGACTTTAATCACAAAGTCAACTTGTATGGAGCTTTGCACCTGTTCTTTCTGCACAAGCATGCTCTATAAACTCAGAACAAACATGTTTAAAGTTGCAAGCCACCCTACAAGACATGTACCTTGCATTGAAACCATGTTTTTCAAGATAACTTCAAAAACAAGTCAAAAACTCAAAACGTGTGATCTTTGTTTTCTGACCTCCTCAAGTCCTCTAACGTTTTCCATATAATTATACAAGTGTATTGCAAGATAACACACGATTAAATAAGCCCTCAAACTCCCCAAAACCAGAAATTGCCATACAAGCACAAAAACTTGCCATTTTTGATTTTTGAATCCAATCTCCAAATCCCCTCGTGCGTTTCTTGGTCAAACCATCCACAAAGCTTCTAATACACATATAAAAGCTATCTCAACCCCTGTTTCCTAACTGTAATACCATTTACACCATTCTCCATTTTCAAAAACAGGGCATTGCATATTGACTTCTTCAGCTTGATTCAAGAACTCTCAGCACAAGGTAAGCTTTGCAATAGCTTCTTGGAGGTGCAATGAAGCTCACTCAATCATCAAAACACTTTGAAAGTAGATCTAACTCAAAACACGATCTCCAGTTACAAGGTGAGTTTTCTGACTTTTCATCTCATTATTTAGGCATTGTTAGGTCTTGATTTGTGAAGATAAAATGTAGATAACTTTGCCACGAAACTGTACATATCCATAGTTTGCATTTATATGGCCTGAGCTTAGAGAATTTTAGATTTGAAGTATTCTGAAATTTTTAGGTTTTGAATTAGGGCCAGAGAAATTCTCATTCATCTTTGATTGTTAGCTTAAGTTATTTACATGGTTGGATTGTGGGAAGAAATGCCACAACTTTCATGTTTGAACTTTTCATTTTTGTTGAGAAATTAAGAAGATACAGGTCCTTTGGCTGGAGGTTGAAGATGAAGTATAATTAGGGCGCGTTTTGTATCATATATTTATTGTTTTACTTATATCAACAGATGTATAGCCACCCCAGTGGTAAGGCAGCTCGCTGGTAACCTCAAGGTCACGGGTTCAAGACCTAGTGCTGCCTTTTGTTTTTCACATTCTCACATTTTCCACATTTTTTGTTTGTTTGCAGCGCCTGAGCTTTAGGATGGGCCTAGTCTTTTTTCTTCACAACACCATTTGTATTACTGATTAACCCCCTGACTCTTTTCTTTATATTTTATTTTTATTTATTTATTTTTTCTTCATTATTATTATTATTATTATTATTATTTATAATATTATTATTATTATTATCATTATTTTCATAAAATCATAAAAAATCCATTTTTTTATATACCCATGTATTTTATTTCCCATAAAACAAAAAGATAAAAAGTATTTTCTTAAAGACAAATTAATTTCTTCTTTTTTTCCTTAAATAATTAATTCTTAGACTTAGGAAAAATTAATATATTATTTTATTTATTTTTTAGGTAAAATTAATTTAGAACTTAGGTTAGTGATTAATTAATTTTCATTTTATTTTCATTAATTTAAAACCTTTTTCATAAAAAACTCTAAAATTCCTTTTCAAATTAATTTCTTTTCTTAATATGTTTAAGTTTATTTTATTTATTTTAATTAATCATTTTCTTTAATTAGGACAAAAAAACCCTTTCATAAAAAACAACAAAAATCATTTCTTTTTTCCATTTATGTTCTTGCATTTTTATTTTTAATTTTGTACAATATTCAATATGGTTGTAATAAGAT